TTTATTTGTTGTAGATATGTATTTTATGATTCAGTGAGTTTAAGCGATTAAGACATTCATATTATTTTCGGTCACAGTCGATGCAATTAGTATGTCTGTTTCTCTTTACTTGTCGCTCACTTCTTGAATATCTCGCTATTGTGTTTGTTAATTTTTTGTACTTGTTAATTTAATTTGTAAATTCATAATGAACAGAGTCGCAAAAAAGATTGGAAAAGGAATCAAGACAATTAAAAAGATTGATTTAGTAAAAATAAACCTCTTTTGATATCGAGCTGTCACCAACCAAACCCATAGCGACTAAAATTCCGAATAATTCTTTTTTAGCTTATCTTTAGGCGCGATAGTTAGAAAGACGATCGTCAATGTGTTCCCCGAAATTAAGCTTCTGCTTAAATAATATATTTTGGCGCTTAACTATGAACAATGTTCGAAATTAGTATGGTCGATTATGATTAACGTAGTTAAGTGAATTCATCACTGCGGTTTTCTCTCTATTATGGCCTTGTGCCATACTAATCTAAACTTCCTTCCTCGCTTTGCTTTCTAATAAGTGGGGAAGGTGAAAAGAAAATTTCGGCTTTTTAAGTTAACCGAAGAAGAGTAAGACTCGAGGCTCAGGAAGATTATGTTCAGCTAATCTGCCGAGGAAAATCAGCATTCGAATCAAAAATCATAGCTTTTACTTAGGCTCGAACACTGACATTAGACAGCAGTAGGAAGAACATAATTATTTCGCTGACTCAGCAGATCTTTATTTATTTATTTTCTCGTATTGGCATCGAAGACCATTACAACCGGCGAAGTACCAAAAGGTCTCCTGTAGAATACCCCAACACTTCAGCTCCCAAATAAACAGTTAAAAAAAAAATCAAACTTCTTAGCCTTAAGTTAAAAAAATAAATAATGAATTTATAAATGAATAAATTAAATAAACAATGAAAACCAGTTCATAAATGCTCGAATCCTTTTTAGGTTTGTGGCAAATGTTAAAATAAAAATAACTATATTATAATTTATCTCCAAAATATCTGAGAAAAAATAAGCATTTTAAATTTAAAATATGAATATTTTTTTAATCAATTTATTTGAGGTAGTTAAAATATATCACTGAAATCTATATTTTTATGATCCAATTTCTGTGGGTGTTACTGTGTAACACAGCAAAAACAGAACATAGTAATGAGTCTTTTGTTAGGGCAATACCATTAACTTGAAGAATAAAGCAATTTCAAGTCTAATTTGCTATTTAATAATAATGCTGTAGGGTCTGTATTTATGCTCAATTTGGCAAATGATTGTTTTGGAGTCATAAGAGTTTGAAGAACTTTGCCCTTTTAAAATGCTATTTTATTGTTATGTGAAATCTCTGTCTTGCAATATTGAGCTTTCAGTTTTTGGGAGAAGGAGGGGATGCAGCTTTAATCTTTTTGATTGAGCAGTGGTATGCTTTGTCCCAAGAAAAATAATGGTTTTATTAGTGAATCAATCTTAAATATAAAAAAAAACTGAGAAACAAGTGAATGGGAAATACAATAAATGGTGGTTACACTTTACATTGAAAAGTGTCTCTGTATCTTTACTGTTTAATGTAAACCAGGGTTTCCCAACCATTCAGTGTCATCACCTACTTTCACATGGCAAAATTTACCACCAGCGTCTTGTATAGTAAATATTCAAATGCATGCAGTAATGGGTAAATTATGTTTTGATGGGTAATTTTCCTGCCTTGATAAATTTGATGGAATATTCCATACCTACCTGTCACCCCTCTGGGATAATGCATTTTTCATGCATAATCACTTCTTAACCAATCAGCATCTTAGTTTCAGCAAACTAGGTTTTTCATTGGCTGAGACCTTAAAACTGTAGCAAGCTTGAGCAAAAATATCTTTTCCCACATACCACTTTTGGAGCCGATTCTGAGACCAAACTCAATAAATACAAGTGTTTTGATTTGATTTAAACAGTCAGAACTTCAACCCTGGAGAGATGCTAAACAAATCCACGCTAGCCAAAACTTTGACCTAACTACACTTTTCACACGCTAATTCTGACTCGACAAACAGCACTTTGCTCTCTCAGGAACATTATTTACAACATACTAAAGAAAGTGAATTGACCCACTACTAAACAGTATTTGTAAATCGCAATCCAACATCAAGACAACAGCTAAAGGTGTACAACTCTTACAAACTTTGAACAGTAACTTTAACAAACGTACACATACACACTAGTGACTGAACTCCCACAAAAGACATTTTGTAATACAATAAAACATCTTGTTTAATTTTGTACACAAATCCTAACCACAAGCCTACACACATTGAAACTCAGCGTAATCCTTCTACCTATTTTATTACAACTGGTCGCACCTGATCAGCAATATCTACCTTGGTTGTGTATGTTCAATTGATATAAAATGAATGTTATTTGTTAAACCTTTAATCACATTGTCCTCATTTTTGATTCCTCTTGAATGATTTTACCTTTCAATGTTCTTATTTTTATATTTGTTGTGGATGAATGTCTTGTGAACACCTACATTTCTACGCCTTCTGATAACCTAACCTTCTGATACACAAAATACATTCACCAATCTGCAACAAATTCGATATGGCAAATGTGTTAAAGAAAAAAGTAAAAAAAATTTCATATTAAACAAAATTTATCCTGAGGTCACTTCTTAATTTTACTGGCAAAGTTGTTTTTGGTCTTCCTTTATCTGATTTATATCCAAAAAAATGTTATTTTGTCCGAAGAGCTATTTGAATGTTAAAATACCAAAACATTCCTTGTTTGTGAGGATATTTATATCTCATCTTGGAATGTGACTCGGTTATTCCCATTTAGCCTACATTTTGTATTTTGTTTTTTTTAATACAAATTCTTTGCTTATCTCCTTTGAATATTTTTTCAGGTTGCATATGTTGAAATACATTATTAATACTCAAAACCCATATTGCCTATCATAATTACAATTGTCCATCATTTCTGTTCAGTTGCTTATTGCTCACCCAACAGTTGAAATTGCCCAAGTTAGGAAACCTTGATGTAAATTATAACTGGTGTTTGCTGTAGTGCTCCACAAAATGTTTTGTATATAACATTGATTACATAAAAAAGATAAAAATTCTGTGTAACATTTCATCCTCTAGATTGACTTCATCAGATTAAAAGTAATGTTTTTGTTAACAGAATTATATATGTGTAGGAAGAGGAGGGGGAGATATAAAAATGCAAGTGTTGGTTATAATTATGCACAGTACGAAATGTTGAAGATGTTGGAACAGTGAAATTTTAAATATAATTTTTTTTATACACATGACCTACAGAATGAAACACTTTACACAAAAATACACAAGAAACAAAAATTTATATTATACTTGTGCACCTATGTCATCAAAATTGATGGCAAGAGGGAATGTATTGTAATATGCATTATATTGTAAGTAATTTTTGTTTAATCCAAGTACAATTTTGTAATTTAAAATAGTTGTTAACATTAATAATTGAACAGTGTGCAATTTATAAACATCACAGGAAAGATATTCATATTTTATCCTCATTGTGTAGCTTTTGTACGTGCACTTTTATGACACACTTTGGGTGTTCTTGAGAGTCAAGTTTGTTGAGTCTATCCCACTTTTGCTTTGATTGTAGTTTGCAGAGAGAGAGAGAAAGGAGGGGATTGCATTGTAGTTTGTCAGCATGGTAGCTTTTTTGTGGACGTAAATGGGGGCATCTCATGTCAAAATTTTGCACACTGCACATCAATTGTTACACCCCCCCACCAAAATAAATATATATATATATATATATATATATATTTGGTTGGCCAACCAAATGTTAGCTCTATCTCTGATATTGATCGCTTTCTAATAAGTACCGCACATATAATATATAAATAATTATATATATAATGAAAAATTATTAAACCATAGGCAGGAGTTAACGGTTTTTTGCCGACATCAACAAACTTTCGCATTAAATAATTAGCATAAAAAAAAAGAAAATCCCATAGCTTAATCAAAGTCTTAAAAGCTTAGCCAAATCATTAAATAGGAAAAACCCTTTCTGTAGTCGTCAAAAAACAAAAAAAACAAAAAAACAAATTGAAATTCAGTGCAATACGGTTTGTATATAAAACACCCACTTGAATAAACAAATAAATAAATAGATAATCGGATGGACAATAATAAAATACAATCCTCCCAACACATAACGAGTTGTAGGCATGCCATAAAAATATCCCTCACTGGGAACCAACTAAAGGATGACCACAAACATTAGCCTTGAAATAGATACCCTACCCAACCTTAGCAAAACCTCTCAGAAGATGATGAATCTATTGATAAGAATTAACTCTCTGACCACTTAACGAAGAAAAATAGTCTGGCCACTCCCACAATGATGAATGTTGTAACGGACCATGCCTAAAAACACACGTAAACCAAGAGATAGCTTATTCCTAAAATTTCGCTTGAAGATGAAATGGGACTAAACACCTCAATTCAACTTAATTTTAATAATTATTTGGATGGTTTCGACTCTTGTTTTTGAAACATGAGAACTCTTATGTAGCGAAGGAATCATATTTTTAAACAAAAAAATATTATTATAATAAAGCTCTACTTCTGTATGGAGCACTGTCTCTTCTTAAAAATAAAACAAAAATACTAAAGAACTCCGGATTATGCACCCAACATGTTCTTTTCTATTTTCTGCATACCTGCACACTTATACTTATATATATATATATATATATATATATATATATATATATATAATTATCTGTTATCGTGTTTAAATGCTAAAATAATAAATATAGAGAAATATATATAATGGTTATTCAATTGTACTTTTGAAGATTTATGTCAAAAGTTGTAGGTCATAAAACTGGAAGAACAGGAGAACAATAAAAAATGTGAGAAATCTTTTTATAGATGTCACAAAACTCTGCAATACAATCAATTTATAAGGATTTTTATTTAAGATTTTTAATGGTTTGATGTCGGATCAGAAGATAAAGTCAATTCAAAAGGATCGGTAGTGCTCATTGAATAGAACAAATTGTCTGAAAAGAGAAAAATAAAACAATGCAATGTTTGGTTCTCATATTGAAGATCTTAAAATAGTTGTAAGTTCATGAAATTTGACTCAAATAGTTATTCTGCTTTACATATTGTATATAAACAAGATGCTTATTTAATTTCAGATATCATGGGCAGAATTTATTAAATCAATAGGTAAAACCTTTCATTCATTCTCATGATCAGTAATAGGATGTTATAATATTCAAGATAATAAAACAAAGAGGAAAACAATTCAGGTATTCATTTCATTCTTTTATGTCTTTAGGCTGGAAGAAGAGACAAACACGTGTGCAAAAAATCTTTTGGAATATATGGTAGAGGTAATAAAGATCTTTATCCACTGTTGAGGCCAGAGAGTTATTCATACTGAAGCCATTAACATCTGCTGGATTTGAAATTTATCTCGCCTTAAGCAGATCCCTGCGATTTTCTCTATTAGCCAGTATGACCCACTCTGCTACTAATATTTTGGTAACAATAGAGGTCAACCTAAAACCTGACTCCTACAAAATATCACCTATCATTGCAAAAATATTAGTTGCACAATGCAGCATATTAATTGAGAAAAAGGCAGACTTGTTCAAAATGGGCTAAATTTAAAATTCAGCAAATGTTAGTGACTTCATTATGAAAAACACCAATTCTCTAGCCTCAGTATTTAATAAAGATTTTTATTGCTTTTTCCCCATATTCCAATACCCTTTTCTCACACACAGGTTTATCTCTCATTTCAGCCTAAGAATGCCTACTATAAAGTGTGTGTGGGGGGGGAGTGCGTGTGACTGAATATTTTTCCACTTTGTCTTATTATCTTCACATTCTAATAATTGCCTACACAGTGACAAAGCAAATAAAATGAAACTATAAATATGGTTGTTTTTAGCACTGATTCCATTTAAGTCCAGTGTATGAAGGCACGGATTCAGTTTTTCTTTTCCCTTAAAATTTGTTTGAGCAACTTTCAACATATTCTCCTGCAGAAAATCAGGAAGGAAGTGGTCAGAATTGAATGCAAGACTTTTTAACAGAATAGGGTTATTACATGAATAAATCAAATACATTGCCAATGATTTTACTATAAAATAATAATTACAAATAAACTTCTATATAAAAGCATCACAAAATATAGTGGTTAGGAATTGAGCCAAACATTATTGGTAATATAATGCAATTATACCTAAAATGGTAGTAGATTGGTAAATAGGATTGTAGCTGTTTGCATATGTTAAGAAAAGAAATAAAGTGTATAGTAAAGAAAGAGACAGGTGGAAGTTGACTACTGATCATAAGTCATAGAACAAAAGAATACAACAGGTAGATTATTTTTGTAAAAATATTACACAAATTATTTTTAAACACTTTATGTACAACCAGCAACAAAAGAGATAGCCCAAGTTGCCAGCTACATATTGTGGATGTCGAAATCAAGCAGGTACAAAAATTTAATTATCTGTGTTGTATATTAACAGATGAGGGAAGCATGACACAGAATTTTAAAGGCACATAAGAATAGCAAAAGATGCCTTTCAGAAACTAAGCAGAATATTAAGGGATAGAAAAATGTCATTAGAAACAAAGGAAAGAATACTGGACTGCAATGTGAGATTTAATCATCTATATGGCAGTGAAGGGTGGATAGTTTCCTCACTAGGAGCAACATAACCGATGTGTGTGATAAAAAGATGAGAAAGTGGAGGTAGTTGGCAGGAGGAATTATGATCATGGAGCTTAAGTCAGCCTACCTGCAGTTACACATCACACAGAAACTATGGCAGTACCAGTTGGTGTGTTATAAGGGGAAAACTTACTGCCTGACTCAATGGGGGTTTGGACTCAATGCTGCACTGAAAATTATGGCAGTGGTCCTAAAAATTGTGCTGATGAAGGGTATTAAGACAAAAGAAGCCACTGATTCATACATTCATGACATCATAATAGATGTAACAAAGATATCGATGGAGGAAGTGGTGAATCATTTTAAGGAATTTGGACTGACAGCAAAGCCACCAGAACCCTCAGAAGGCGGAGCAGCACAGAGCCTTAAGCTGAAGAAAGGAAAAAAGGATGAACTGGTGTTTGGAAGGGGCAACAAAGGGCAACAGGGTCCAACAGGTGACAGGAGAGATGAGTAGGTGGGAACTGTTCTCGGTTTGTGGAAAGCTGTTGGGGCATTACCCCGTTGCTGGATGTCTTCAACTGGCATGCAGCTACATAAAAAGAAGAGCAAGCAGAATAGACTGGGAATGTAAAGTTGATGATTAAACTGTCACTGTGGTTGCAGAAGAACTGGAGAAGGTGATTCTTGAACAAAGTCCAGTAGGGGAAGTGGTAAAGGACAATGTCACAGTTTTCTGCTTGGAACTCCTCCAAGTGATGCTTGAAAAATGGAAAATAATAAGGTACTACAATAGCAGTGTACAGGTCAGAGGAAATGGAATAGTGGAGTGACACCATCAAACCATGAAAGCAATAGCCAAGAGAGGAGGGATATCATCTGTTGAAGTGATGTTTTGGTACAACATGGCACCTAAGGTCAAACAGAGAAAGGAAATGGTACCACAAAGCTCAATTTTCACCTACAAGCGGAGGTACCCAAAAGATATATCCCCAAATATCAATGAGGAAATGCCAGCCAGAATCCAAACAGGAGAAGAGGTTTAGGTGAAGCCTCCAAATGCATGGTGCATGACACAAGGGGGAGAGGGGTGATGACTGGAGTACAATCACCTCACAATTTGATCATTTTGGATTTAAGGCGAGTGGTCTGTGCAGAAGATGAGGAAGTGAATGCTGAACATGGAGGAGATAAAAATGAAACTGCACCAATGCAAAGACTGCAGAGAGAGTGCAAAGTGCCAACCTGTGCACACAACTATGTTGTGGAAAATGATCTTTTAGCATTATGAGGGCCTGTAGTTTGAGGGAAGGAAGAAACGCTATAAAGCTCCTCCAAAAATAGGAGTTGGCATCTTTTTCTTGTTCAGTTTGTACAAGAAAGGTTGCAAGAAAGAACGAGATTTGAGAGAAGGATAGAGATCTGATCCTAGAACGTTTTTTTTTTATTTTTTGAACCATAATAATCCTTCTACTACTGAGGAAGGGATATTCAAGTTGAAAAACTTGACTCCAAATATGTATAATAAAAAACTTTTGTGTTATTTATACAATTGAACAAAGGCTCTTGTTTAAAAAAAGAGGAGTTTGCTTATTTATGCAGTGTCTCCACTATTTAATATTTATGTAAGTATATTAATAAATCCACAATGATGAAAAAGACAAATATTTTACACAACAAATTGATTTTTAAACATAACTTCCTTTCTTGTCAATGCACTTAATTCAGTGAGGAATGTTAATTATATAGACTGAACATTATACATGGGAAATTTCGGATCAAAAATATATATATATATATATATATATATATATATATATATATATATATATATCAAAAACTAATGACTACATGTCAGGCCATGGATTTAATCATCCACGCTAATAACTCTACATATGTAACGTCTGTTGCATCAGTTTATTATGAGTGACCTCCCCTGAATTAAGAATTTTTATTTAAAAAACCATTATTTCCATTTTTTTCTGCCAGAAAAATTTACGGATTTATAAAAAAAAAAAAATTAAATTTTAAAATTCAAGAAATTAACATTTTAAAAAAATATCAGTGTTTTTTTTTTTTTTAATAGTGAACCATTTCAATAGTGAAGCATGCAAAATCTTAAGTACAATAGTTAAAAGTGATAACTAAATTGGTATTTCTTAGACTAAGGCAAGTTTGGCACAAGTTTTCAATTCTAGTGTTTAATAAGGATCAAGTTTTAAATTTTCTTGAAACATTAACACATTACAATAAATTCCCCTATGATAGATAGGTAGATAGATATCGATTTCTAAAGAATTAATGGATTTATTTTTAATCCAATATTTTTATTACTTCAAACATTAGAAGCCCCATTTTTATTTTTGCTTTAAGCACTAAGTATTACATTTATTGGCCTGCATATTCAAGAAATCTTATTAATGATAGATAGATAGATTATGTTGATGTAAAAGTTTCCCACATATTTTTGACATTATTTTTTTTATTTATATAAATTCACATAGGTTTGTGGCTAAATTGTGTATTCTATCATAAATGAATGAAAGAATGATTTCAATTTTGAATTATTTCACAAAACATTTTGATATTTTGTATTTTTTTGCAACCATTAACCAAAAAATGTTGCAAAGTTTAGGTTGCCCAGAGTGCCAGCAACCTTAGGGCCATCACTGGAAGGATTATTTGTAATGAAGTTGTTGTGCTGGTTAATGATTAAAAGAGACCTTGATTTTCATATTTAACTTTGCATATTATTACACTCTAGAACATCAAATACTGTTGATCAGGGTGTCTTGCCTGCAATGTCTGAGAGACTTTCTGTCCTGCCTCTGTGAATATCCCATGTACTCACATTTCAGGTAGATTTGCACCTGATGGTTAGGAGGTTATTCTGCAGATCAACCCACTGGTACACCTGGCTTCTTTGATGGTCTGGTGTGACATTTAATGTAAAGCCTATTCTGGCATTTTCTTAGGTTAGTCTGGTACATAATGGAGTCAATGCAGATCAACTTCTCTGAGATCAAATGTTCCTCATTGAGATTAAATTCAAATCACACAATCTGTTTTTTCCTGGTATGAATCACATGTTACATATTAAAAATAAAGTAAACTATATAGAAAATATGCTGGGTAATATTGTTTTTTAAGAGAATTTGCTTCAATAGGAGATAGGAAAAAATACATGCAATGTTGTATAATTAACAATAACATTTTATTGCCTTTATTTCTGTGTTGTGTTTAATATAATGTTACATTTGCTTATGGCCAAAATGTTCTCTAGAGGGGAAATGAAACTTTTCCTATCTTTAAGGCATGCTGTAACTAAAAGAGAAGAGAAGGGAGAGAGACATTGTGCTCTTTTCTTTCATACTGATTTTTTGGTAATACCATCTAGCAAGTCATGAGCAGAAGTTCCTTGGCAGACAAGTGGGGTAATCCTACAAGCATTGTGCAATAACAGTGTATCCAAGTTCAAGGAATTCATAATAAAGAGTTACTTTTTAATCCTTAACAGCTAGAAATCCCCCAGTAGATCCTGCTGAAGCTTAAGTTTGCTTTGGATTAAAGTTGATTGCATAAGTAATAAAGAGCTGAGTAATCTTCAAAACATCTCCCTAACATTATGAAAAAGATCATGCTGGAAATTTTTGCATCAATCTAATTGTGTGCATGTATTGGATTGAGAAAATGTTTAGACATTTAATATAAAGGAAAAATAGTCTATCTCAAGTGAGGGTACGTTAATAAATTTCAAAGTATTGTTGTTAGAAATACACACTTCCTTTTCACTTTTCAAAAGCTTGCAAAGTCCTCTCTCAGGATTGCCATCAGTGGCTTCATTGTATTTTCCTTAATTTTGGCTATAGTGTAAAATTTCTTAGAGCTATTTAAATTAACTGGTCTGGTTATAAAAAAACAGGTAAAATCTTTTAGGAAATAGTTATACATTAGCATTCATTAGACCTTCCTCTACCTAGAATATATTTTTATCATTTTACAAAAGGGGTCTTGTTCATAATATAAATACAGTGTCAAACTGATCCTGCCTTCTTAAAGAGGTATCTGTACTTTGTTTTATTTACATGTGTCAAATTTGAAACTCTGTTTACGTCATTGATAATTGCATACCAGTGATGTTGCAATTTTTTTCCCAATTCATAATAGTACAAATTAGATGTAAAGAATTGGTAGTCATAATATTTAGAATGGCTGAATATTTTCTGGACTGCTCGTAGAATCTTCAGTGTTTCTAATTCTTGCAGAAGTCAATTTTCTTTGATTGCCACTTGCATAAATTTGTCTGAAGGATTAGCACCAAAATTTTATCTGGATTTCTCTCATTGAATAATCCTTAAAAAGCTTTCTTAATCTTTTGAATAGTTCCAATGGATGAATGTCTAAGTTTCAAGCTAAACCTTAAATACATATTCACTTTGAATATTGATGTGACATCTTAAGCTAAACTGAGTAACCTTATGGTAGAGTATCTGTTCATGCATGCAAGCAAGGTCCTCTCTAATCTGTTGCCAAGTTATAACAAGGCTGCACAACCATTTGAAATGGATAGATACTTTTTTGGATAGACTTTGTGTGAACATGCAAAAAAGGTAACATAATAGAATTTGTGCCAGTCAAATTATAATACTAGACAAAGATTTTGAGATTATTAGTTTTTAAAAATTCACTGATGCTTCTACATATGAATTTAAAATTAAATAAAAACAAGAACATATGTGATTTTAATGTCTTAAAGAAAAATATGTATATAAAGCATTAAGTAAAAGATTAATACAAACAACATGAGAATAAGTTTGCATTGTATATTTTTTGACCTTTGAACTTACCTAAAATGTTTTGTGAATTCTTTGTTGTTCCAATCTGTTTCCACTCATTTACATAACTAAAAAAAAAGGGAAGCATTTTTTATGTTAGATTAATGAAGTGTATAAGAAAAGACCTTAGACAAAATAACAAATCACTTTAATGATTAACTTCTTTCCAGAGTTAGATCAAGTAGGGATCAAGATTAAGTGTCAATTCCACATTAAAAGCATTGTACTAATTATTACATGTGTATCAGGAATAATTATGAAAATCTATATAAATTAAAATTTGATAAAATCCATGTAAAATAAAATAATATAAAATTTGATAAAAACTATATTAATTCAAAGACAAATTTTATATGCTTAAATTATACAGACATATTAAAATATTTTATAAGTTGACCAACTGCAAAAAAAGTAAAATAAAGCTTATTTTTACTAAATTCTACTAATGAAACATGATATCCCAATTAAGAAGAAATCAACTTAAAGCAGAATTCAGTCAGCTTATAATTTATATAAAAAGTTAAAATTTACACATCATTTAAAGCATATCAAATTATCATGTTGCAAAGTTTCATCTTTCAAATATTTATAACTAAATTAAAAGCCACACTGTGTGTGAACTTTTAAGCTAGCTATTGTGGAGGGTTAATTGGGCCTCAGGCCAAAAACTAAAGGGACCACCCCTGGTCCACCTTAGAGAATAGCAATGATAATTTTGAAGAAATAACTTTGAAGTCATCAATTCATTTCATGGAACTTCAAAACCTCACTTTAACTCTGATTTGGGCTATAAGTCCAATTCCACCAAAAGACCGATTTGGGCCAAAATTCCAGTTCAGGCTGAAAAATGAGTTCTTCAAATTACAAACTCTGTGGAACTTCAAAACTTCTGTCTTTAACTCTGATTCCTTGGTGTTTGAAAAAATAAAATTGATTTTCTCAATTGACAAAATTTTGGAGATATTTTAAACTGAATTTAAAAGAAAATTTCTTAAATTCACAAGCATTTTGTGTTACTTTAAACTCAATATAAATTAAAAACTTTTAAAATCACTAATTTCTTTCAGTTATTTTAAAATTTGAATTTTTAACTGTTCCCTCCACATTCGGACACAAATCTCATGGCTGGATGTTTAAGCACCAGATGAAGGGCAAATTTTCAGTCCTGGGACCATCCTTATTCTAAAATAGAGCAAGTATGGCCTAAGTTAGAGGGGTTCCAAAAACATGGACAGACAGAAGAAATTTATTTATTTAGAAGATTATTTAAATTTTGATACCTTTCAGCTAACACACTTAGAAATTAATTTTGTTTTTTAAACAATTATGGACCAAGTTTATGTCTATGTGAAATGAAAATAAAAAATATTCATCAAAAGAAAGAAGGAAGAGAAATCAAGACATACACTTTTGTAAATTCATACAAATCAACTTATTAGATTTTGAATTATTCTTTAAAAAGATAAGCAACCTTTATTTCCTGTTCAGTGACATTTTATTCTTTTCCCTGTGCAAAAACTGCTTTTTACATTTTTTTTATTAAAATAAAGATTACACCTACATGCACACACAGACACAATTTTTCTTTTCTTTTGCTTTCAAGAACACAAACACTTTGTTATCAAGAAAATATTTTTTTTTTTGTAAAACTTCTGCATAAAAAATGTTATATTTTAAAAACCTCGTTGTTCATTCTTCACTTTTTAATAAATTTGTCAAAGTTTAAATAGAGCCACATAAAAATGAAAGCCTCCAGAACTTTTATTATTTTTTACAACAAAGTGGATTTAAATGCACTATATTTCTGTCCAATTGATACAGAAAAAAAGGTACTATCTCTGTCCTTGATATTTAGTGTATAAAAGGTGAATACAAACATGTAATAACAGAGGTGATATTTTTGAATAAATCATTTGTTGTGGCTTTGAGCTGGTCATGAGATCTGGTCACACGAAATTGTAGTGCTTGTGAAGAAAAAATTTAAAATCCACATAAATTAAGATTTGGTAAAATGAACAAATTACACAGATTCAAATTATAGCAGACCCAATATTAAAACATTCTATTAATTAATCAGTTTCAGACAAAATAAAAACCATTTTTAATGAAAATTTTTAATAAAATATTCCTACTGAGTGGATACCAACTTAAAATTTAATTAATTTATAATTTATGGAGAAAGATAAAAATATACAGCATTTAAAATGTATATCAAATTATTAATTTGTAAAGTTTCAGCTTTTAAGTATGTATAGTTATTATGTTATTAGAAATTATATACTCTTCAAGTGACACACGTTCAAATAGATCTGAGCATTTTTCTGTTAAATATTCATTTAAAATTTTGTGTTTACTACTATGCCTATGTGCCAGGTATAAAAAAGAACAATATATCAAGTAAACAATCAAAGTAATAGTTTGAGTAACAGATGGATATAACAGTCTGCATCAAAGTAGTAAGAGGAATTATTAAGAAATCTTCTTGTGTCTGGTCTATTTGTTGTTGTACAAAAAAAGGAACTCGTCTAAAAAAGAAAAAAAATATTTGTAAAACCATGATCACCAAAGTTAAGCAACATCGAACCTGGTTAGTACTTAGATGGGTGAATGCTTTGAAATACCAGGTACTGTAAGCTTGGATGTACAAATGGTGTAATGGATAATAGATTGGAATTGTAAATTCGAGAGCCAATTCCATTTGGGTTGGTTACATTCATTTACATGAATCCACCTCTTCTCTCCCCAGCTATGGGTGAATTAGTAGGGCTTGTATCAGTAAATCATTATTATCTTCAAAAAATTATTACAATCTTAAAATATTTTCTAGCTTTGAATAATCTACAAAAGGTTGATAAAGCTGTAAAAAAAATCAATCATACACATTTATACTTAATTTACATCTGGGTTGATAGACATTTTGAATATTAATTAAACTGTATTTATAGAAACAAAAATTTTGAGTGAAATGTTGAAAATTTCTACAGTGAAGTATCTGAATCCTTATCATCATGCTGTGCAATTTCTATCTGATGCAAATTGCAAAATTATGTGATATTTCTTCTTGAAAAATGTTAGTTATTATAAGTTTTTTGGGCTTATTTATTTAATTTAAAAGATAAGGAAATTAAACAGAGAATATATATATATTTAATACATAAAAAAAGGAAAACTTTGAGTAAAGTTTAACAAATGTACTGGCAAAAAAATAGTATGTAAAAAGGATGGATTTTCTCTTGACACTGCTATTAATGTAATTTTTATTGTTTTAAAAAGGTCTTTTTAGAATTTTAATAAAACCCAAACATATAAAACTGGATTTATGTATTTTTTTTATTGAGAACTGAAACAAAAATATTGAATGAAACTTACTTATTAGATTATTTATTTACAAGAATAATTTTATATTTTCAAGATTATAAAATATGTGAACCAACTACAAAGCAATATTATTTACCATATTATAAATAACTGAAAAAAAAAGTATTTATTCCTAAGTTTATAAAAATGTCTGTGAAAAAGAAAATTTAAATAAATACATAATGAAAAATAACTGTAATTACAAATTTAAAAAAATGCTTTTTCCAGATATTTCTTTCATTTGCTCTCACCACATAAATTAAAATAGGTTAAGTACATCTGAATTTATACATTTTTTCAAGACTTAACAACAAAAGTATTAAACATGATTTATTTATTAGATTGTTTACAATAATAATTTGGCAAAGTTTAACAAATGTACCCACAAAAAGGCATATACAATAATGGTGGTATTAAGAGAAAAAAATGTCTTTTTGTTACACAATTTTTTGTGGGTACATTTGTTAAACTTAGCAAATTTTGCTTTAAAAATCTCAAGTCTTTCTCTGTTGATGAAACATCAAATAAAGATTACACTTACTCATCATAATTAAGGCTAACTGTCCAGTCAAGCAATTCATCAACTTCCCAGCTACTCAACTTGTCCAGTCCATATTGGTTTGTTGTGTTTATTATTCCAGTCACAGCTTCATTCACTAATTCTTCATATTGGCTTTCTTTAATTTTTGATTGGAGAAGTCCATCTTCATACCTACTCATTGAAATGCAGAATTAATTACAGATTTATCAATTATATCATGTAAAACACAAATGTGGCAACAAATGAATACATTGATTCTTTTGGACCAGTATCCTCATCTTTATTGTTTCATTCATTTATTTTCATACTTTAAGCATTTATCTCTCTTCAGTAACCTTCCAGGAATGTTAAATGAAACTCTTTATTTGATTCAAAGGAAGAGTTTGTGGGGATTACTCCCATCTTCTCTGCCAAGATTCCCACTAAGTGGCACTGTTCAGAAATGTTACATAGTTTCACAAGAGAACAAACCTGTGAGGTGGAAAGAAAAGACAAGGATTGTTAAGATAAAATTCTTTGTATTGCCAATATAGAGAATCGAAGCAAAATGTCTCTTTGAGGGTGAGGGAAGTGACCTGGAGAATGGGGAGTGTCAGTAGGGCCTGGAGTTAATACTTGTGTCTGATCAGTTGACCGAGGTCACTAGTGGTGATGGTGGCAGCCTGCCTGCTGGTCCATAACTGCCAACAGTGTCATGAGTGCGTTCTTAAAAGCAAAGTGGATAATTCAATGTTATCTGTCATGCTTTTTGCTTTACCAGCAACGTTGGTTCCTTTTATGTTGTATTTTATTTTTTGGAGAGAATTTGTTTTGAGAACCGGATGTGATGCTTGGAGCCCCTGTGCAAAGATTGACTTTTAGTTTTGTTTTCATAGCATTCACATATGGCTGGCAGGTTTTATGTAGAGTGAATCAGAAAGAGATCTAGTTTGAAGCAGAGTATAACAGAACTATAAATGGATGGGACAATAAACTCTTTTCTTCTCTTTTTATCTTTTTACTCCAGAATGTAGTAGTGAAAATAACAAGACTTTTCTCTGCCCAGGGAGATTTCTTCCACCAACAGACCATCTTCTTAATTTCAGCCAGCAACACATTTTCTAACAGCAAAGCCTACAAATGTTTTTTCTTCCTTTTTTAGCTATCTGTGTCCACATAAGTATATTTCTTCTCTTCTTTTATTGCCATTCTTCATATTAAAAATATTTATGTAATAATTCCTTTTGAAAAATGTTGAATTCAATTTCTTCAACTTCAGTCTCATCCATTACAACCTGTAGCACCTATCTATACCAAGTTTAATCACATTCCTATACTTGTTAAAACCACTGCAGGCATAAAACAAGATTGTCTTTTACAGAGTCAAAAATTTTACTCGCATAAACAAAACACAATGAATGATTTTTTTTAATATATAAAGAAATTTTATAAATTATAAAAAGAAAGGTCCTAATTAATCACAAATTAATCTTAAATGTGATTGTTGTGAGCAAGATATGCGACATCATGCCTGAAAATGCCCACATATTACATGCGTATGGTGTCACAGAGCAGTTGGAGGAAGGAAGAATTGGCAGAGTGTGCATACATATATGTAAAACTCTCCCACTTAACCAATCAGCTGCTTTGTCATGGTCTATAAAATGAGTGTGTCTGAAGGCTTTGGCATTTGGGGCTGAGGGAGCCGATGAGGACAACTGCCCTGTACGAGAGATGACTGCTCTGTTCCAGTGGGTCCTTTTTGGCGTGACAGCTACATTAAAAACAAAAAATTCTGCCAAGACATTGATTAGAAACTGTATCCTTTACATATGTTTCCATTTCAAAATCATGAGTCTACATCTACAGCATATTTCTGAAAGAATTTCTGATTTCATAAATATTGTACATTAAACCATTTTGCCAGAGATGTATGTGGGAAAAACCCTTTCAGGAGCAGTGATCCTTTTATAGCTACTGGGCATGTGTAAAAAAGAAAATGGGAGAATACATGCTGTGAACAGAAAGAGGCTAGTTCTCTTTTACTGTGGGCCAATGGAATGGATGTCAAAATGTGCGCTCCGTGCAATAGATGCACATGGCATAGGTAGCTCCCCTCACTCGCTTGCTAATTCACCTGCAGAGTATGTTTAATTTTTCCTCCATTATTTACATAGATTTTTAAGAACATTCCTTGAAATTTTCTCTGCATAAAAGAGGTTCCTGATAGAATAAATATTTCTATCTTGTTTTGTTAGTCTATTTTCTCAACACTTTTATTTTTTGTTCAACACACGATCCCTGACCTAATAACTACAGTTTGGAAACCCTGAAGTCAGTTGTGTTTTTATTTTTTTATTTTGTGTTAACTTTATTCTATCAATTATTCTTTGACATTGATTTCTACACTCTACTTGATGACCTAAGGATTGAACTCACTATTTTTATGGAAACAAGATGAACTTTTTTCAGTATATTTAGCCATTTGTTTAACCTTTAGTATTCTTTTTTCTTAATTAAAAAAAAATATTATGTACAGGATTTTTTATAAACTAAAAGCAATGTGCATAAAAAAGAAATTCCACATAATTTTATTTGTATTATTCCTCATATTTTCTTTTCCTCTATTGAATATTTTCTAATCTTTCTATATAGTAAAATTTTATACAAAGAATGAAAACTGAAAAAGACTTACATTTGAAATGGAAATTCTAAAAGTTGATATATACATCAACATATGTGATACATTTATTCCAAAATATTGTGGAAAACAAGATCAGTGCATTAGAAATTAAACTTATAGTATTAGTGATGAACAAAGGTAATCTTATTTACTATAGAACTAATATCCTCATCTTCGTTTATCATCATTACAATGTTTTAGCCATTTTTAAATAAAGCCACTTTATTTAATTAACCATCATAGAGTAAATAAAGGGTTTAGTTCAGAATTTCCTGAAGGTTACCTGGATTGATAGACATTTGAAGACTGCTAGAAGGCATAATGAGCAAAACATTGAAAGAAATAAGAATATTAGGTTTAAGGTTCCATGATGAAACATCAGGATTGTCACACATGATAATAGCATGGGAGATTAAATCCCCAGGCAAGGTGGTATAGACTCGGACTCAGGGGAAACAGGGCAAGCAATAACTGAGCAGTATGAAAAAGAACAAGATGAGATATCCCTATATATGAACAGTGGGACAAGAAAAATATACCCCTGTAGATTAAATAAAGGGTTCAGTTTGAAATTTTCTTACCCAGATTGACAGACACATGAAGAAGGCCAGTATAATGACTGAAAGATTGTGATAATAAGTAGAATGATGAGGACATTAGTGTGACTGCAAAATAATGATAACTCCCTATCTAAAAAATTAAGACAGAAAAAAGTTACTTTATTTTATGACTGTAGAGTGAGTAGCCATTGTTAAATGTAAATAAATGGCAGAACTGTCCAACAAACAGAATTGACAAAGTTTGCTATAAACAATAACAAGAAAAAGAACAGGAAAAAATAATATAAGGCAAGCAAACAATATATGCAAGGCAAATCAACAGTAATATGGCAAAAAGTTCACAAACTAAGAATTAGGGTTGATATACAAGAGCAAATTTGGATAAACAAATGTAGCATTCTGACTTCAAGCCAAGACAGGCTGGAAATGAGTTGTATGAAACTGAGAACTGGCCTGTTTTATTCACTAGGAAGAAATCCCAGCATACATTTGTGTGCTTTTGCCTATAAATTGGGGAGGGGAAAGTGTTTTGCAGTCATTTCTAGTCAGACTGAAACCAACAATGACATTAACTAAGTTTTGCATACTAAGGCTCACAAGGCCAAATATAGAGAAGTGGAGGTAGCCAAGCAGCTTTTGTAACCTTCCTCCTCTCCTAGTGGTTCTTTTTGGCCTCAAAATCAAGTGAGCTTGTTTAGTTGCCTGGTCCCCACTTAGGCATGATAATTTAAAGAAAGAAAAAAGGCTTAAATGAAATTGAAAGCAAACACAAAATTGAAGAAAGTAGTAAATACACTGAAGGATATACCGAAAACGAAAGAAAATATACTTTTATTTTCTCATTTCATGAATAAGGACCTTGCTAGAAGATAGCACTGAAATCCACTTGGGCAAAATTGAATCACATATATCGAGATTCTCTTCCTCGATATCTTCGGTGTCCAACACCAATTGGATGTGACATCTTATTTTGTTTTGTTACAGACGGTGTATGGGGAAGGGCACAGGCCTTGATTGAGGACTAAGAGACCACCTGAAAGAGCAGATAATAATTTTATGGTGACATAAGAAATACCATCTGTTTTGTGTTTGGTGAAACACCTATTTCCTGGATGGTGGCAGTATGGGGAGATGATATGAAGAAGTGGGAGGAAAATGAATATGACCACTGAAACATTCTGGTGTGAGGTGTGAGCAAGAGAAGTGGGGGAGAACAAAATGGTGGATTGATGTGTTGCTTCTGCCACCCTACTTGCAGGGGGGGCTCCCCATATTTGGACATAGAAGGGCCACCCAGCAGCAATCTGTGGAGAGATTTGATTGGGTGACAGAAGATTCAAAGGCATCTCAGAACAAGACAACTCCAATCCAGTTTTTGAAGGTTGGACTCCGTAAATAGTTATGCAGAGATCCCAAGAGGCAAGAAGAGGAGACACAGAGAGCAGCAGTTGAGGCAGAGATGCATTTCCATTACACAATGTGATTTGCTGCAACGAAGAACTCCTGACTCATGCCTTGTTCCATACTATTAGATAAATTGAGCAGAGTGCCCTGATGAAATTGCAAAGTGGGAGAATTGAAAGTTTCTATATAATGACAGAGAGAGAGAGAGAGAGAGAGAGAGAGAGGGAGAGAAAAAAAAACAAAACATTGTCAGCATTCCGTAATTTGATGCCTGAAGAAGTTTTGACTCTGACTTGGAAATGAAGAACAAAGTGTCACAAAATTAAACTACAAGAGAATGGTCATTAGCCTGCATGCTTGTAGATTCTTATATGAAAAAGTGTTCCTGTATAAGCCTCAGTTATATAAACCTTGTTGATTTACACTACTTTCTTTTTTTTGTCATATAACATCGTCCCGCCTAAATGACACCAATCCTGCAATATCTGACAATGATTCGATCCTTACCTGTCTTGTGATTAACACAAACATAATGTGAACAGGAA